TATATTACGAAACATTTGTTATAATATTTTGATTAAAATTGTTAATTATATTAATTATCTTTCTATTATTCATAATACTTATTATGAATAATATATAAAATTATTAAAATTACGTTTTTATATCTTTATTTCATAAAATATTTTAATAATTTTACATTGTTATATTATAAAATTAATTTTTTTTAATTTTAATTAATTAAAATTTCATTTTTTCGTTCAATATTTTATATTTTATTTATTTCTGCAAAGAAATTATTATCCAAAAATTTTTTTTATTGTAAAAAATAAATATTTTTTATCTTTTTTCTTAATAATCAAATAAATTTAAAATAAATATTTAAACATTCCCGCTCCCTTTGTCTTCCCTAGGGAAATACTCAGCCCTATCTAGTAATTTTCCCTATTTCTTGCAATAATACTACAAGATATACTCACAAAAATTTTTATATCATTTTAATCATTTTTAGGTATATCTTCGTCACTTTATTTATTTTTATAAAATATATTTTAAAAGTTTGATTTTAAATAAAATATTAATCATTCGATTTGCAATTGATCGATTTCTGCATATAGAATGTAGTGGTGTAGAATGGCGCCATCTCGTTGACAAGCATTTAGTTGCATCCGTGCATGGTCCGTGGCAGTAGGCGGTACTGTGTTTTGTCGGGTGGTTAGGTTTCTTGTCGTTTGTACGTGCATTTAAATTTTATAAAAGTTAAAAACGAAAATGCGATGGAGACGACTTTTAATGTGCATCAATACACATCCTGGCGCCTCTATTTGAGAACTAGCATGGTTTGAAATTGAAAAAATCGCGCGCGAATTTTAGGTTAAATCGTCTTACGAACAATCGGGTGCATAACAATGCGTTGCGTGAGAAATTCATACGGTGAAAGTCTCTCTCACGTCGTGCAATTGGAATTTCGACGAAGTGTACGTTGTCGTGGATTAGTTGTCGCTTTCTGACCGTCTTCCTTCAAATTGTGTGCATCTTGTCGTGTGCATTTATTCGCAGTGCAACAACAAAAAGAGAAAAAAAGGGAGAGGGAAAGAGAGAGAGAGAGAGAGATAGAGATAAAAGTATAGAAAGAGACAAAGAGAAAGAAAAATGCCGAGGCTACTCAAGTGGCGATGATTCCGCTCAAATTTCGCCGCCGTCTAATTTCATATAGGATTTCCCCGTATTGCACATGCACCGAGTGACTGTAAACAGATTTGTGTTGCGACGAACATGCGCGCTGATGGAATGGAAATGTAACTGCTCTCGACAGTTTTCTTCCATCGAAAGGTAATCAATGCTTTTATCCCCTGAGGATACGATCTGTTCCTTTTTCTTTTTTTCTTTTTTTGTTTTGAAAGTGCAATATATGGTGAAGGGAAAATATATATCAAGATAATCAATGTCACGCTTGATTTTTTTTTTTTGTTCAACAGTATAGTTTATTTCTTCTACAAGCGTATTTTTTATTATTTATTTTTTTTATTTTCATCTTTCTTCAGTTTCTTTTTGCAGTATTAAATCAATATTAATGAAATTAATAATTATAAAATGTTTTGCATAAGAAAAAAAAATTTTTAAATTATAAAAATGATTTATATAACCGAAGTCTCTGATTTATAAATTGTCATCTGATAATTTACTAATATTATTATTTAGTAAATTATTGAATAAGAGAGCTTTGATATTTTTATTTTAAATCATATGTTTTGTCTAATTCTTGATTAAATTATTTTTAAAAATAATCAAGACAGATAGAGACTATGAGAAATGTGCATGACTTAAATTTGCTTTTGCGTTTTATTCTGCATCAAAGCCCAACATTATAAATAGTTTTTTTGTACCTACAATATATAACATGACATGTGCCGACAACTCTTCTTCTTACAGCTAAGCATTATCTCATTTCCTGTTTAAGGGGAGATAAGAATAAAACATAAATACTGTATTTATATCATTCTATACACCTACATAATTCTTTGATACTAATTGTTTTTATGTACTGCATGATCTCTATTAATATTGTATATGAATAAAAATAAATGAATTTAGCATCATTGATTTCATTGTTGTTTTACTATCATTACATATATCCTTATATCTTTGTAATATTTAAATAAATAAATTATTATTTCATACTTTTCCTTTTTTTCTCCCTTTTCATATTGTGTGGTAATTATGTACTTTTGTTTTTATTTTATTTATTTTCTATGTATATTAATAAATTTTCATTTTATTATTTCATCAATATACTTTAGATAATTCATTTTTTTTCTTTCAGGATATTAGAATAACTGAACATGGCAGATGATGAGGGTACAGAATGGTTGCAGGAACTGCTGCACGATGTTCAACTTTCACAATTTTTCACTAGGATACGGGATGATTTACAAATCACTCGATTACATCATTTTGATTATGTACAACCAGAAGATCTTGAAAAGATAGGATTAGGAAAGCCAGGAATTAGAAGATTATTAGAAGCAGTTAAGAAAAAGAGAACCACGCAATGGAAGAAAAACTTGATAACCAAGATCAAGCCTGGAAGTAGTACGAAAAGCAATAAGAAATCTTCACAACCAATTGAAAGTTCCTCGGTGCTAACCTGTCTCATTCAAGACAAAGATGTAACATTATCCGATCAATTGGGTGATGGTAGTTTTGGTATAGTGAGACGTGGAGAATGGACTTCTCCTTCTGGTAGAAAATTACCAGTTGCTGTGAAAGTTTTGAAAGCAGATGCTCAACCAAGTGTTATAGAGAACTTTGTATCTGAAGTTCAAGTAATGCATACATTGGATCATCAAAATCTTATTAGGTACATATATTAAAGACTAATAGATAAAAATCAAGTAATTAATTTTAATTAAATAAATTAATGTTATTTTTTTTTTTTTTTTATATAGATTATATGGTGTAGTATTATCACAACCAATGATGATGGTGACAGAACTTGCCTCTCTTGGAGCTCTGTTAGATTATTTGCGAAAACAGTGTGGTCAAATTTCAGTATTAACATTGTGCGATTATGCTTTGCAAGTAGCCACTGGTATGGCCTATTTGGAAGCAAAGCGTTTCCTACATCGTGATCTAGCTTGTAGAAACGTTCTTCTGAGTTCAATAGACAAAGTGAAAATCGGTGATTTTGGCCTAATGCGGGCACTACCCCAACAGGAAGATTGTTACGTGATGTCAGAACACAAAAAGGTGCCATTTCCTTGGTGTGCTCCGGAATCTTTGAAAAGACGAAAATTCACTCATGCATCCGACGTGTGGATGTTTGGTGTTACGTTATGGGAAATGCTTACGTTCGGGGAGGAGCCATGGGTCGGTTTAAAAGGATCAGAGATTCTTCGAAAAATTGACAAGGAAGGTGAAAGATTACACGAGCCAGAAGCAACGCCACCAGAGATGTATCAACTAATGTTACGTTGTTGGGCTTGTGATCCTTCAGAAAGACCAACTTTCGCTTCTCTACGAATATCCCTCACGTCGATGGTTCCAACTGTAATGAAAGCGATCAGTTCTTTCGCAGTATCTGATCCAGGTAAAATGACCATAAAACAAGGTGATCAAATAATTATTTTAGATGGTCAACCAGAGAATTATTGGTGGAAAGGTCAAAACCAACGAACCTTTCAAATCGGACTTT